GCGGCCCTCCCCCAGGGACCCCCCGCTGCTGCACGGCGCCGTGGCTCCCGCCGGCAGGCGGCCCCTCTTCACCCGCACCGGCACCAGGTGCGCCCCGGCGGGGGGACGGGTGGCCTCGGGGACAGGGTGGCCGTGGGGACAGGGGGTGGCTCGTGCGAGGAGGCCGTGGGCGTGCAGGGAGCGAGGGTGCAGCTGGTCCTGTGGGTGCTGCGGGGTGGGGAGGGTCCTCGCACGAGGCTCCTGAGCACGGGTGCGCGAGCCCTGGCGCGGGGGACGTGCAAGGCCACACGAGGGTGCGCGAAGCCCCAGCGCAAGGGCAAAGCCCTGGTGCAAAGATGTGCAAATCCCTGGTGCAAGACCGTGCGTGGGTGCGTAAGACCCGGGTGCAAGGGCCCCAGTGCAAGGGTGCGCAACAGTGCGCAAGGCCCCGTTGCAAGCATATGCAAGGGTCCCGTTCAAGGGCGTGCAAGGCCCCAGTGCAATCCAGTGTGAGGCCCTGGTGCACGAGTGTGCAAGAGCCCGGTGTGAGGGCGTGCGAGAGCTGCAGAGCCTTGTGCGAGGGTGCGCTCGGTGCAGGCTGACGCAGCTGGCGGTGGATGCGGGCGCGGGGCCATGGGGGAACCAGACCGTGCTCTTCCTGGGTGCCGAGGACGGGCGGGTGCTGAAGGTCCTGGCGGCCACGCGGCGCCCCGGGGCCACCCGGCACCCTGGTGGCACCCCAGCGCCCGGAGGCAGCCGGGAGCCTGGTGACACCGGGGATGCCGGCTCCGAGACGCTGCTGCTGGAGGAGATCAGCCTCTACGACCCCGGGCGGTGAGTGCCAGGCTCTGGGTGCCCGGGGCTGGGGGTGCTGGTGGTGCTGGGGGGCTCATGGGGGCCATGGGTGCTGATGGGTGCTACGAGGCAGAGGGCATTGGTGGGTGCAGCGGTGGTGTGGGTGCTGTATGGGTGCTGGGGGGGGCCACGTGGGTGCCATGGGGTCCTGCAGGTACCGTAGGGTGCTGATGGGTGCTTTGGGGTCATGCAGGTGCTGTGGGTGCCATGGGGCTGCAGGGTGCTGATGGAGCTGCGGGGTGCTGGCAGGCACCGTGGGGTGCTGCTGGGTGCCGTGAGGCTGTGGGTGCTGGGGCGGGGTGCAGTCACGGTGGGTGCTACGGGGGTGCAGGTGCCGGGGGCCGCGGGGCACCAGCCGGGTGCTGGGGCTGGAGCTGCACCCACCGAGCCGGGAGCTCTACGTCGCCTTCGCCGGGTGCCTGGTGCGTCTGCCCCTGAGCCGCTGCGCCCGGCACGGCGCCTGCCGCAGGTGAGCAGGGCGACGGGGTGCGCGAGGGTGCGCGAGAGCATGGGAGTGTGCGCAGGCACAAGGGTGTGCAAGGGCACGGGAGTGTGCAAGGGCACAGGAGCGTGTAAGGGCACGGGAGGGTGCATGGGCATGGGAGCGTATATGGGCATGAGGGTGTGCAAGGGCACGGGAGCGTGCAAGGGCACAGGAGGGTGCAAGGGCACGGGAGCGTACATGGGCATGAGGGTGTGCAAGGGCACGGGAGCGTGCACGGGCACGGGAGGGTGCAAGGGCACGGGAGCGTACATGGGCATGAGGGTGTGCAAGGGCACGGGAGCGTACATGGGCATGAGGGTGTGCAAGGGCACAGGGGCACATGCAGGCATGGGAGGGTGCACGGGCACGAGGGTGTGCAAGGGCACAAGGGAACATGCAGGCATGGGGCGTGCATGGGGGCACGAGGGCGTGCAAGGGCACGGAGACGTGCGAGGGCCGTGGGCGTGCGAGGGCGTGCGAGGGCGCGGGGCGGCTCCAGCACCCGGCCGCCTGGGTGCCCCTGCGCAGGAGCTGCCTGGCCGCCCGCGACCCCTACTGCGTCTGGCTGCCCGCCGGGGGCTGCGTCCCCTTCTCCGAGGACCTCCCGTGAGTGGCCCCCGCCGTGGTCTTCCCTGGGGACCCCCACCGCCCTGAGCTCCTGGGTCCCTTCCTCGCGGGGTGGGGACGCTGGGGACGGCGGGTGACGTCCCCCCCGTGTGCCCCAGGAGCGGCTTCGAGCAGGACGTGGAGGGATCCGCCGGGATCACTGGGACCTGCCAAGGTGAAGGTGCCATGGGGACACGGGAATATTCGGGGACATAGAGGGCCACCACGGGAACTTCTGGGGACTTGAGGTCCCGGGGGGATGCAGGTGGCACCAGGGTGACACTGGGGGCCCGGGGATGCGTGGGTGACACCGGAGGATGTGGAGGACATCGGGGGGACGCGGGTGGCCTGGCCTGACCCCACTCTGCTCTCACAGACGCACCGGCTGCGGGGGACGGTGACAGGGACTTGGCCCACGGTCAGTGACACCCCGTCTGTCCCCCCCGGACACCCGCTGGGAGGGACCCTGGGGACCAGGGAGGAACACGGGAGGGACCCAGGGACCCCTGGGATGGGAGAGGGATCCCGGGGTGGGGGGACCCCAGGGACAGGAGCGACCCCAGGGACAGGAGAGAGGGACCCAAGGACCAGGGAGGGACCCCAGGGACAGGAGAAGGACCCGGGGTGGGGGAACCCCAGGGACCCCAGAGGGACCCCAGGGAGCAGGAGGGACCCCGGGGATGGGAGAGGGACCCCGGGCACCAGGAGGGACCCCAGGGACAGAAGGACCCGGGGTGGGGGGACCCCAGGGAGCAGGAGGGACCCCGGGGCGGGGGTCGGGCCCCCGGGCACGTGGCGGGCTGACGGGTGCTCCCGCAGGGGTGCGTCAGGCTGGGCCGGGGGCCGCGGC